TTATAATCGGATTTTTTTTTATAATCGGGCGGTTCGAGCAGTTTGAAAGTAAAACCACAAACCAAACCAATTATATCAGTTTTAAATTTTTATAATCCACACCAACCCAATTTTATATCGGTTTGGTTTGGTTTTTAATCGGATTGGATCAGTTTAGGTCGGATCAATCGGATTGGATCGGATATGAACACCCCTAGTTACTATAATATCAAGTTCAAACTCAAGTACTAAAATATTTAACTCTCCTTGACTCATTTACCGTTGTAACTCCACCAAACTGTCCATGGACGAGAGTACTGAACAAGAGATTTACAGATGTTCTAGACTTTCTACGAGGCATTCCATTGCCATTTCAAGCTGATCCTTCCAAAGCCAGAAAATCCTAACAAAAACCTCAACGTTCCTTGCAACCCCACACCGGTCAAAAGAGTCCAAAAAGGACCTCTCCCCTCAGGCCTCACGGCAAGTGGACTTCAACTTGTTTCCTCCGCCCCACAGAAAAATCTCTCGGAGGCCTTATTAAGAACCACTGGAGAGTAGACCATCCTCACCCGCAGTTCCACACTCACTCAATCTAGCTCTCTCCAACAATGGCTGCTTCGCTCACAATCTCACGACTCCTCTCACCAGCCCCTATTTCCCTCTCTACCGCCACCACCTCTAGAACCGCTACCACATCCCTTGCTTCCAAGTTCTCCCTTGCCTCTGTTCCCCTTAAGCTCCACCGTCGCTCAAGACCCACTTCTCTCCCCTTCTCCACAAGAACCACCCCCATTTCGGCCATATTATCTGTCGGCCAAAAGCTCCCGGACGCAACCCTCTCCTACTTCGATTCCGCTGGTGAGCTCCAGACTACAACAATTTCCGCTCTCACCTCCGGCAAGAAAGCCATCCTTTTCGCTGTCCCTGGCGCTTTCACCCCCACTTGCTCGCAGAAGCATCTTCCCGGGTTCGTTGAGAAAGCCGGTGAACTCAAAGCCAAAGGTGTTGATACCCTTGCCTGCATTTCCGTCAACGATGCTTTCGTGATGAGGGCGTGGAAAGAGAAGCTTGGGTTCAAAGATGAGGTGCTCTTGTTGTCTGATGGAAATGGGGAATTTACGAGAAAGCTTGGGTTCGAGTTGGATTTGAGCGATAACCCCGTCGGGCTGGGAAAAAGGTCCAGGAGGTATGCGCTTCTAGCCAAAGATGGAGTTGTGAAGGTTCTCAATTTGGAGGAGGGCGGCGCATTCACCTTCAGTGGGGCTGAAGATATGCTCAAGACACTGTAAATCTTCAGAGGTTGGTTTATTTTGGGGTTGGTGTTCTTTCCTTTTATCTGTTTTGCACTCAGTGTATTGACATGGGATAGTTTTTTAATAAGATGGATGGAAATGGAGTACGGATTATGACTTGCTGAGAATAAAAGATTAGTGAGTTCCTGTATGACTGTATCCATCTATTGTGTGAATGTGATGATATTTTACATTTTGTGAGTTGATTTGTGGGCATCTTTTTCATGTGCTGCTGGTAGCGTTCCCTTGATGAATCTTTGCAATGCCTTGGCTAATGTTATGGGCGTTTGCTTTTGTTGTTGCCCGTTTGATATCTGCATATTGAAGTTTTGCTTCTAGCTTAGAGTTAATGCAATCTTTCTGATAGATTTTCAAATAAAATGTAGGAATGAGTTTTCAAATTTAAGAAGTTTAATTTTTTATTTTCATCTCTTTATTTGTGAATGGAATTGCTATCTAGATAAATTCTGTCTGCTGTAGGTGTCTTTGCTTGATAGACCAATGAAACCTATAATCCTTTCTGTGTTGCTCTGTAGTTATCTGCAATTTTGTTTTCTGGTATTCCATGTGTGTTTGTTTTTTGCGTATAGATGATCTTGTTCTTGACATTGTGTGAACGGTGAAGCACATTGCATCTTGACTTCTACCTGCATTAAGCAGATTTGCAGTAAGTAGAGCAGGGGAACCTAACTTAGGTTTGTAAAATGGCTGAGCGAAATTGATTGTTGACATTCTTGAGCTTTATTCACTGAAAAAGTCAACTTAATCTTGTGCACAGATATGTGATTAAGATTGGCTTGTTAAATAATATTAATTCTGGTTTGCTGATTAGATGAGCCTAATTGAGCTTGTGTTATGGATAGCTATATGGAGGATTTCTGGTAATCACCAGAAGAGTGTTCGCTCATTAACATGTACCGATTACCATAGTTATGTTCATAGGTTTTCCCTATGACTATTAATTCATTGTGAAGTATTAACTCATTTACAAGGTCTCAATATTGATGTTTAGACCTGATTTTCATATGAAATTTAATCAAAATTTACAATTTACTAGTCATGACTCATGCCAATCTTAAGCTAAGTGTATGTATGTGTTTGCAGTTGAGCTTGTGTAAAAAACAAGTTCCAAATTGGTGGTTCGAGCTTGGCTTGATATACAATCAACTTCAAGGTGAAATAAAACTTTTTGACAAGATCAAATTATTTGTAAATAGTTTTTGATTTGTGGGTTACAATAGAGGTAAATTTCTCTTATTGCTTTTCATCTTAGATGCACCCCCTATGAACTCAGAGAAATAGTTGAACAGTCTATTTTATGTTTCATCTTAGATGCACCACCACAATTTCGAAAGACTCATTTGCTTGTTCGTATATTTTGTTTGACTTCACTGAAATGCATTACTGTCAGGTTGTTTCTATCAGTTTGAGTGTGGAGATCTGCTGATTTAGTTTACCCTATAGAACTGAGGTGATGATGTTGCATGGTGATGGTAGTCAGTCAGTCACCTGCTCTTAATTAGCAGTTCTCAACTTCTCATGCTTGTTAGCTGAAGCAGAGATGTCTAGTGCCTAAAACATAAAGGAATTGACTGGGAGATTGGGAAGTAAGGAATGCTTGAGGTCAAAGTCTTTCTGCTTAGTAAAGTCTCTAGTAGTTCTAATAAGAGCATAGTCGGTCTGGGTTATCCTCCCAACAATTAATAGCTTGTTTTGTTCCATTAGCATTATGTGTAAATTGCTTATCCATTTAGAAGTCATAAGAGAGAAGAATAACCTAAACTGGAAAAGGAATTTACCATTTTCCAGTAGTTTTATTCACTTTTTTAAACAAATCCGAGCCACAACAATATGAGAAGGGGAAAAATGAAAGGGGGGCAATAAGACCATTACATTTTCTTCTGTATTTTTCTTTACTCTCTAGGACTATTCAGGAAAGAATTAATTGACCTGTATCGAGTTAAAGACTCCAATTCTTATGCTCAACACAAAAGAAAGACACCCTTTTTCTTTTTTTTCTTTTTTTTTTTCTCTTCCGTTTTATACAAACTGTGAACGTGCAGGAAAAATTCTTTTTTTTTTTTTTCTCTTCCGTTTTATACAAACTGTGAACGTGCAGGAAAAATTCACTGTAATTGAGACATATACCGTGTTGATGAAAGCAAGAACGACATGTACTGTGTGGAAGGTGAGCGCGACCAAAGTTCATGGTGAGAACTGGTCAAAAGAATTTGAAACAAATGCCAACTCAGTAGCCATGTGTTGCACTAGGAGTTGGGAACAATTGTACCAACAAATCCAAACCCCACGAGGAAGAAGGCAATTGATTGGAGATAAAGATACAGGAAGTAATTGTTTTGGCCGAAGCTGAGATCATAGCAACCACAGAAGAAGAGGAAAGCTCCAACTCCAAGCTCCAGCAAATGTAGTCTGTTAATTTTATACAAAGTTAGTTGCATGAAGAGTTGGCTGCTAAAATGCAAGGAAGGTTTTATTATTATAATCTCTATCCAAAAGCTCAATTTTTGCATATATTATAAACAAGGTGGCTGAGCAGTTGAATATCTGTACCTTTCTCCAAATCTGAAACGATGCTTCTTGGGTGCCTTAGTGGCTGCTTTAGCCTTGAGAGCATCGCCAAGTTTCTCAGTGACAATCCATTCGTTCACTCTACCAGCCTCCAGCAAGCCAATGAAAGTAGCCTTAGTTCGATGCAGTGACATGACATTCTCGAAGAGGATCCAGAAAACTACCAGGTGAAGTGACCTGAAAGAAAATTAATCAGATTAAATGCTTTAGTCTAGAAACCGGCTCTTCTGTTTCCTCAGAATATTCTCCAGGAAGAATAACGCTATCTGAACACGGGGTAGACTAGAATTAGACCTTGGAGTTCCAACAGCATTGAGAATGGTAATTATAGAGGGAATATAAACTGCTCCCCACTTGGGAACCTCAACTTCAGGAACCAGGACTGTAGCCGGCAATACAACGCAGTAAAAGATAAAGGTAACAATGTGAGCAACAATCTTCCTGACGAAGAAGAAGCTGTAGATCACATGCACCTTCTTCCATGTGGACACTTTCTGTGGGAAATTTGATAAAGAAAATGAGGGAGCAAATTAACTAATACACATCCAATTGTTCAATTGCTTAATCTGTCAATGGATTTTACTAGTTCATATACTTACTTTGTTTCTAATAATCTCCTTCAACATTTTCCTGAAAAGATTAGCAGGACCACAAGACCACCGGTGCTGTTGATAGCGATAGGCCTTCAAAGTACTTGGCAATTCATTTTTCACCTGCATTAGAGATTGTATCATGTAAAAATACAATTATAAAATGACTTAAAAAGCAAATAATACTACTGGAATATCAAAATATTACCTTGATGTTACCAAGGTAAAGGAATTTCCATCCCTTGAGACTGGCTCGGACTGCTAAGTCCATATCCTCTACTGTGGTTCTATCCTTCCATCCTCCTGCCTCATTTAGAGCAGAAATTCTCCAAGCCCCAGCAGTCCCTGTGCAACAGCAATGCAGTTAAAATTCTGTTATAACTAACACAAGATTACTTTGTATCACAAAAGAACATAAACTCTTCTTCTTCTTCTTCTTTTTTAATTGAACTTAAAAGAGCATAAACTTTTTGATGAAATGCCACAGAGAAAGATACAAGTCTTTCTTCTTTTCCTATTCTAAGAGCATTAAATTTCAAGAAAAGGGTTTAGTTGTTTTTTTACCATTGAAGCCAAAGAAGGCATAGGTGGAAGACCCCACTTCTTGTTCCACTGTGAAATGGTAATCCAGGGACATCTCTTGCATTCTTGTCATCAAGCACTCATCAGCATTCACTGCAATAACCCAAAAGATATGAGTATAAACAACTGCAATGATAGAAGGATAATATTTTTATATAATTTTTATATGTTATTAAATGAGTGAGTTGGTGTACTTAATATTATATGTTTCAAATGAATAAAAATAAATAAAAATTAATTATTTAAATGATAAATAAGATTACATTAAAATGTGGTGTAAAAAATTATCATTTAATTACTTTCTCATAAACAAATAAACAAGAAAAAATCAGCTCCACGTCACATCTTAGCTGGCACTAGATTGATTTTTTTTTCCTTAAAAATAAAAAAAAAATAATAATCATATCACAGAGGGAATTAAGTTGGACAATGACTAGCAAGAGGTCCACCACAAAGTTAGCACATGCTGCTGCAGGGAATATGAGGAGGTTTGAGGTATAGGACAAGAGTGCCCCTCAAACAGTCAACTACCCTAGAGAAAATATTGCGTCCCTCAAAACATTCTCTAGAGATCCAAACGACCCCTCCCATGGGGCAGTTCAAGACATTTATGAGACAGATCCTAGGCATATGCACAAAACATGCACCCAAAACTTAGCCCCTACTCCTATGTAAATACTGAGGACTGTGCAGCTTTTTCTCCCAAAAAGTACCATCAGATCTATTGGTTTCTACAGGAATTGGGCCCATTTCAAATCAATGCGTGCAAACTTCTTTTGGTAGAATGAGATAAGGCAGAACCCTCAAATCACCCCCTGACAAATATGGGTAGGGACGGATCCACCCCTCAAAAAAAAGCAGGGACAAATTACACCCTAAAAGTATCGATTTACCCAAATCGATCATTATCTAACAGATGACGTCATCACCGTCACAATCTCCGTTTAGCCTGTGCCAGCGTGTCGTTTTTTCACACGCTGGATGCTGATGTGTACCAATCCCGCTATTTCAGAGCAAGGGAGCATGGAATATCAGTCATTTGTGCTGCAGGGAATAATGGCCCAATTCAAAGCTCAGTAGCAAATTGTTTGTCTTCCCCTTTGTATGTTACGGCGATCATTGGTTTGTCTCCAGCACCGGCGACCACCTTGAACGGCCACAACTTCATGTCACTCTGTATAGAAGGGTCACTGAATCTCCTCCCAATCAACCTCTTTGCATCTAATACAGAAAATAAATGCAGTCACCAAAATTAATTGAGCCTAAATCATATTTCTTTTTTTAAATGATGAAACACCAAATCTAATTTAAAATCCCCAATTCCCAAATTTACGTTCCAGGAGAAACCCA